TCTTTGAATATCTTCACCCAACACTTCCACTCTAAATGGAAGTAAGCTCAACAATTATGAAACAAGAGATTCCTCGAAACCCAACTTTTCTTCGCATATATTGTAAGTATGTTTGATTGCAGTTGGTCATCCTTTTTGTTTTATTACTTTATGTAGTTTCCCAAAAAAGAGTTTTAATCTCTGACAATGTCTGCAACGAATGGACAAACGAATGGACAAACGAAAGCCAAGCACGGATTTAACGTGACTGCAGGGCCGTGTGCCAAGGGTGTCTTCGTGCAAATCCACAGTCACAACTTCAACTCTCGGTTTCCGATGCGGTCATGCCATAACTCCCTTCCTCCGGAATGTTCAAGACAAATCAAAGGCATAACACAGCTTGAATTTATTGATGGACTCTTCGAAACATATTCCTTCTGGTTTATCGGGATTGCGCAATTCGACCACATTGTTTTGTCTTCTTCGGCTTTCCCTTGTCCACTTCTCCTCTTCTCTATTACGTCTTCCTGCATCTTTTACGCACAAACTCACGGCCTCCTTGACACCTCCTTGCCTTACTATTATTCGCTCAATTTTATTTCTTTTGTAAATTCGTGTAAAAACCAGACAACATGCAGAATAATGTGTTCACTCGTGTTTGGCCCATCCTACCCTCCTCCCTAGGCAACTACGCAGCCCCGTTAAGGAGTTCGGCGCCCATAGGGCTGGCTATGGTGAAGAGCGGCTCAGAAACAGCACAGAGTCTGTGCTTCTGGTGCCGCCGACGCCTCCGCCGGCTCGCCGTCAACTCCCGTTGCCATCCAGCCACCTTGGACCTCCTGTTCCTCCGGTGCACTCGAGCTTTATTCGCGGGACCACGGCGTCTCTGGCCTCTGCGGGACCCGCTTGGGCGCAGCCAGCCCTGGCTACCGCGGTCGTCATGAATGACCAGGCCACCGGGCCTCGACTGATGGCCCCCAAGCAAAAGCACTCCAATCCCTCAGGTTTGTTCGATCAGGCGGGCCCAACACCCACAGCCGGATACCAACCCAGGCCGTCTCAACAAGACTACCACGCGCAGCAGACTTACCCTAAGCACCATCATCAACTCCAGCAGACGTATGCCAGACAAGAACCACAGCACCAGAACCAGCACAACTCATACATTAGTAACCATAAGTTACAGCAGCCGCCGCAGGAAACCTCAACTTCGCGATTGCTTTGTCCATTCAGAGCACCGGTTCCCCGAGAGCCAGAGTCGCCGATTTCTCCAATCCTCGCGCAAGAAGGGCAGATGAAACATCGACTTCAGAAAAGGCAAACAAAGGTGAAACCTAGCAAAGACTTAATTCCGAAGAGTCCATTTAGAATTTTATATTCTTGATTCTTTCAGTTGATATGCAAGTTGGATGGAGGGAATTCGTAGGTTAGTCTAAAATGGAGCCCTAAGGTGGATGGTCGATTGGAGAGAAATGGAAGAGGAACCGAGCATTGTAACACTCGCGCACAACCACAACCTCCCTCTTCTTGGGTTCCCAACACAGTCTACCATTCGAATTTGGCATAAAATGAAATGAATAGGCGAGATCTCCTGAGCTAAAGTTGAGCTAATAACCAGCTAGTATATACACAAAATAAAAATACAGAATTTTGTCAACATTTTTTTTCAGCGTTTTTTCATTATCCCTATTCAAATTAGAAATCAAGAGTCAACAAAATAGACGCAATTTTCATTGAATCAAAATCAGTTACCAAGTGAATTCCAAACAAGCTAAGCCATACCTATGAGATGTACTCACCCTATTTCTTTTCAAGTCATGAAGGATTGTTAGTTAAATTTTCCACAGGGATATGAATAGGATTTACGTTTCCATATAGCCTTGATTTCTAAAGGGTATTCTCATCCAGGCTAGACCGCCGTTTCGACCTCACCTGGGTCTCATCAGCACCCCCAACGGGACTCGAACCCGGATAATGCAGCGTATAATCATTGTGCGAAAATTTAATTATCAGTCCATCGTCGCCTTATGTGATCTGGGAAATTGAACTATCATCCAAGATTTACATATAGTTTCGAAGCATACGTTAAATGAATAAAGTAGCGTAATAGATGGCAATGGCAAAACAAAAATTTGCCTCCTCGAAAATCCCGCTTAAATGTTATATATGAGACCTAATTTTCCTTAAATTCACGTCTGATTTTTGGCTAAAAGCACTCGTGGCAATGTTGCGGGCTAGTAACATAATGTAATTATACGCTGCAATACCAGAGTTATCTTCCCTTTGGGTGTACAGATGCAATCAAGGCGAGGAAGAAGTTGTAGTTCACGTCAGTCGAGAAGAAAATACCTGTTAGGTAGCAAGGTTAAATCAAATTATATGAAAACTTGAGGCCTTATCATATCATTGTGAAAAATTTTTATTATCACTCCTATCATTCTATTGTGACTAGGACTCATTTTCAAGATGTATTGATAGTTCCGTAGCCTACTTAAAACAATACTTAATAGTCAAGATGATGTGGCCTATGGTTTTGACATAGGTTCTTATCATTATATCGAATTGGCTTTACATAGTCTCCAGGACTTAGTACCGTTTAAAAGGCGAATTTGTAAGACGCGCTACGTAATGTGCTCCTTGCTCTTCTAGCATCGGACGAGTAAATCCCCAAAGGCCATTGAGGCTATCTACTGATGTATATTTTTGTTTCTATAAGTAGGGTTTCGAGACTACCAGTAAATCAGATATACGAGATGTATTTACCCTTTTTCATTTAAGGTGAGGAATTACTGGTAGTTGGATTTGCCCCCAATTAAATGAGTAGAGCTGACGCTGCTATCCCAAAAGATGTTCTCATTCAGGATGGACTGCTGTTCATCCTCGCCTAGGAGTTATCAACACCGACAGCAAGAATCAAACCATGGCAGTGCAGTGTGGAATCTCTGCACAGTAACCACGGCGCCACATTGCAATGAGGGCCTTTGAGTGACAGAGCAGATAACTGATTTACGGGTAATCTCGAATCCATACTTATAAACGAAAAATAAGTAATGCATGTATGAAGGCCAAGATAGTGTGACCTTTTGTGTGGTCGCAGTCTCCTTTCATTGTATAGAAGTTGTTTGACCTTGTTTTCGCAACTTGGTCATATTGGTAGGAGGACTTAGAGGAACGCGCCTGGTCCGGAGTCCATTGTATGCATGACAATACCTGTCTCTTTTGACGAGTTGTAATATGGTGCTACGAATAACGAGACTCACTGACGATGTGGAATATGATGCCAGTGAAACGTTTGAGAATGTACCACGTCCACGGTTTGACTTTGGAAATGATCATGTAGACAAGGGACTCCGGACTAGGTGCGTTCCTCTAAGTCTTCCTACCAATATGA